TCAGTAAGAAACAAGAGCCTTGAGTCTTAGGGTCCTGTAGTGTTTCCTCAAAATGTGCGGCAGATCTAATCAAGGATGTTTATTTTAGTTTCTTCTCACCCTATTCATTTGAAGTTGTTCATATAAGCATTTATATAAGGGTTCCTCAAATCTTGCTCTGGAGGGCCAATGCCCTGCATAGTTTAGCTCCAACCCTAATCCAACACATCTCATCAAGGTCTTCAAAATCCCTAGAAAATTACAGGTTTGATCAAGGTTTGAGCTAAACTCTGCAAAGCAGTGGCCCTCCAAGACCAGATTTGAGGAACCCTGATTTATGTTGCATTATCAGCCTGTGGCATCCCAGTAGGGCAGACAATTTCAACATCCTGAATGCTGGAAGCATCAGTGACGTCTCCCTCGCTCCCCGCGCTACTCTTGGAGGACGTGCTGCGCACCAGAGAAGTCATCTTTTGTCCATAGAGGTCTCCTATGTAAAGAAAAGGCATGCTGAGATTTGGCAGTTTTTCGTCCTCTGGTTGGAACTGGTCGGACTCCACCAGGGCTTTCTGTCTCTGGTAGTACTTGGAGAACTTGTTGAAGATGATAGTGATGGGAAGGGCGACTACAAGCAGGCCGCAAATGATGCACAAGGTGCCGATGAGTTTCCCAGCCAGCGTGATGGGATACGTGTCGCCGTATCCCACCGTGGTCATGCTGATCGTCGCCCACCACCAGCCCACCGGTATGGTCTGCAGTTCTGACTCATCGTCCTCCCTCTCCACAAAATAGATGAGCACTGAGAAAATGGAGATTCCCACGGAAAGGAAGAGGATGAGGAGTCCGACCTCATGGTAGCTGTGACGGAGCGTCGCCCCAAGCGAACGCAGCCCGACCGAATGCCGCACCAGTTTGAGGATGCGAAAGATACGCATGAGGCGCAGGATCTGCACGACCCTTCCCACGTTCGCAAGCTCCTCGCTTTCCGCAGCATCCATGGTTTCGAACGCCAACGTGGCGTAAAATGGAACAATAGAGGCGAAATCAATGATGTTTAGCACATTGCTTAGGAATTTGCGCAAACATGGTGTGACAGCTAATCGTAGGATGAACTCGATAGAAAACCAGAGGACGCAAAAGTTCTCGAACACAGCCAACACCGGGTTCTCCACTTCTTTGTCATTAACGTCCACCTGGTGGAACTCAGGCATGCTATGAACACACATGGCCACGATACTCATCAGTACCACACACAGTGAAAGCACCGCTATTATTTTCGCTGAGCACGAATATCCCGGGTTTTCCAGTCGCAGCCAGAGTTCCTTACGCTTCTCGGCGCACCAGGTGCCCTCAAACTTTTCCAGGTCTTTGTCAAACGCTGACAGCTCCTCCATAGATGAATCTAAGCTGTCCTGCAGCTGGTTCTGCAGGTCATCGTCGTATCCCCAGTCGTGATCTCCAGCGTACTCTTTCTGTTCTTGAAATCTGTTGCTGCAGCAAGCGTCCAGGTGAAGCTCCTTGATGCCCCAGTATTCCAACTCCTGGCTGAAGCTAAACACACACAACTCTTCCATCAGGTGGATCTTTCCGGTATGATAGAAATTGAGCACGTAGCGGAAAAAACTTGGATTTCGGTCGAAATAATACTCGCGTTCGGCTGCTGCATAGTCGTCGCAAAGCTGGAGAATAGCAGCCTCTGAGCTGCAGTAGAGAAGTTGGGCCAGTCTCGTGTGGGGGAAGCGTTGGAGGACCACTCGTTCCACTTGCTGCTTAAAGCCGCCGACGTTGAGGTTGATGAAGCTCTCCTCGGGGCCTTGGCGGTGCAGGACCTGCCCATACACCATGATGGATGCCAGAATATGAAGGAGTAAGAGGGACTGTTGGGCTAAGCAGTTTTGGAGAGACTCAGCTATGACTGCATGCCTATAATGGAGGAAAATAAAAGCCTGATTAGCACTGACCTGTTGCTATCGAAATAACAAATTCCTGCTCATCAAAAATATGTAATCTTTTTTTTTTTCAGTACTCCTTGCCATAATTCACTGTACTGTACTCAACTGTATGACAAGACAAAAACTTAATCAGATTTAAATATGCAGACAGAAAGACAGACAGCTAATCTATTATATACTGGGATAAAAGCATTCTGGAGCCCAAATCAGCCTTTATAGCTGCAAATGGATATTGATTTTGTAGTGTCGTAAACAAAACATCAGTGATCATTATGAGCATTTTAACACTAACTCTGCCTTTCTTTCCCAGCAGTACTGCAGGGCACAAAGTCATGTCAAGATTTCAGGACATTCAGTGAACACTTGATAGTTCTGATGTGCAGTGCTTTTATAAAGTTTGAAAAATTGATATTTTTATTCTGAGATGATGAAACATTTACAATGGGGTCTAAAAGTCTGAGAGCACTAGTGAAAATAATTGTAGTTTGCTTTTTTTAATTAAATAAGTAAAAAAAGAAATGAAAACTATCTTCAAAATCAAGTGAGAGGTTGAATTGAAAATGTAGAATTGTTTTGCATTAAAAAATATTAAATATTATAATAAAGTCAGCATATGTGTTTGATTTTCAGAAAGTATTTGGTGTCCCTCTTTTGCCTTAATGGCAGCAGCATGAACTCCACAAGTTTGTGTAAAACCCGATGATCGCGTTCTCCAGCATGATTTGAGAAACCTCCAAAGAGCACCTTGTACTTTAATGGAAACGGTCTGTACATAGTGACATACTTATTTGATTGGTGACCTATAAGTGGTGCAAAAACTTAAATATTTCTTCTTAAATGTCATATAATTTCCTTTTTCTTTTTCATGTATTGTTTCAAGCTTTGATTAAGATTTTCAACCCCAGATTTTCAATATGGTTCAGACTTTTACACCTGTGTATGTAATAATTCAATTTGCAATACATAAAACGTAAATAAGATTTGATAGCAACAAAAGTAACTATAGAAAAACGATATTCCCACTAGATCTCAAAACACAAAACTGTTACATTTGGGTACATGAAATTTCTAAATGACATATTTGAGTTTCTGCAAGGTGTGTGTAAGTCCGCGCGCTCTGCCTGATGGAACTCCAGCACCAAGGACAGCACCGAAGTTAAATTCAAAAGCAACACTGCGGAACTCAAACTACACAGAAGGAAAATGTCACAGTTTACCTGTTTTCCTTTCTGTTCTGACGGCATCAGTGCACTGCAAAGACGTTCGGTGTGGATATTGCCATTTTCCAGCGCCTTCCTTGGTAGAGTCGAGCCCGGCGTGCGCTCGTTCGCAGTGTTTGCCCCATGTCCCGCAGCAGACTGTGTAGGGTGGGACACTTGGCAGACAGTGTGCCGCTAACGCACTCGCGGTGCCTCGGGGCAGCTGTGCGTCCGTGCGTCACTGGCCCGTGGCAACTGAAACGCGCTTGCGCTTTGCGTTACAGGACGCGCCACCACATGCTCCACGGAGGAACAATGATTGAGTGAAAAAGAATCGGAGGACAGAGAGAGGTGAAATCAGGGCTAGACCCCGACACTTTGACCACCCGTGAAGGCCAGTTAAAGGATTAGAAAACTAATAAAAGAGTGAGATTACAGATCCCTCGAGTTACTGCTGAGGAAGACAGCAGAGGTCGGATGGATTTTGTGAAAAAGAAAAAGAAATGAAAAGAAAAGAAAAGGCATATAAGCCTACTTAAAAGTTTGAGGGAAAAGAGTCGTCGCTGCTTTTATGAGCATCAAGTGTGTAATTTTAATAAATTGTTTCAGGACGGGCGTAGGCTACTGCAGTTACGTTTAGGCGTGTCAAGTTATTATACCAAGTAAACAGCGAGTGGTTTGTCAACACGGTCACTTTCTTGAGTGAAAGTATTTCTCCCTGGCGCAGCACCTGTCGCACGTGCAGAAAGGAATTGACAGATGATGCCCTCTAGAGGCCGTCAAGTTTTATGTAGCAAATAAATAAATAACACCTAAAGTCAGACCATTCTTTTTTTGTTTTAAATCCTGAAATTAATCTAAATCAAATAAAAAAACAACAACTGCCCGTGCAGATCGTGATTAAAATGCAGTGGTTGCCTCTAATTTCAAATGGCTAGATATTTTAGTTTGAAGCCAGTTTGTTTGTTATAAAGCAAATAGCCAATAAATAAATGTGCTTAAATATCAGTATCAGAATCAGCCAATTTGCTAGTTAAAAAAAGAAAGAAAGAAAGAAAAGAAAATCTGAATTCTAAATCAGCTATGATTGAGGCATCAGTAATTAAAATACTATGTAAAAGGCCTCAAATTTGAAGTACAATCTGGGATGTCTTTTTCTATCAATTCTTCAATAGGTAGATCTTGTCTTTCATAAAGGCCGAGGTCAGGGATCTTGGGCCTAAACAGTTTGGTGACCACTGCTTTAAAGTATGTATTTTTAAATATGTTGTTCACCCTAAAAAAGAAAACCGTAAAGAAAAAACTATTCTACTCTTGTCCAATAAAGAACAACGCCGTCACTTATGCTCAGCGAAAATACTATAAATGTATCAAGCATATGCAACATTCTGTCAGAAGCGTCAGTTCTGGAGCGCGACTGCAGAGAGCAGCATTGCGTGACATACGACAGATGCTTTCTCTAAAGTTTCACTGGACAGGTGCCTAAAATTAAATATGTAAATTCTCAATTTAAATCAGAACTGACAAAAGTGAACAGCAGCGTCTGAGAGATTTGAGACATTTTTTAAAGTCTTTTTGTGAATATAGGAACATTTATTTTAAAATAACAGAATACACTGAATCAATTTCTTTTTTTTTTTACTAAAAAACGTCACAAATACATACATACAGTTATTAGCCAGATTATTTATTCCTAATTTTGCGAAGAGTTAAACAATGTTTAACAAATTTTTATTTAAATGGTCAAATTGAGTGGAATGTGATGATTCACGTAAGAATGTCTTCACGACTGTTTTGTGCAGAATTTTGTTAAAGTAAAATAATGTAATTATATACATAAGTACATGAAAATGCCATATATATAAAAAATGTATATATATATGATCATTTGTTTAAACATCCAAATTACATATATTTTAAGCCTTCTACTCTTGTGGCAGAGTTTGTGTCCCACAGTACATCGAAAAGAATGACATTTGATGGAGCAAGAGCTGAGCTTGGGAAAGAGATGGAAAAATCTATCCCACTGAGGAGTGACAGAGAGGACAGAAGTTGTGTTGTGTGATCTCCTGCTCCACAGCACAGTGCTTACACACACTGCACATCCAGAACTGGTACTCCGATATCACTCTTCCTGTCACTATACAGGTGGGCAACTTGCCCTCCGGCCTGAGAAAGAAAGGAAATAATAAAAAGAGAGAAAAAAAAAGAAAGAATGCATCATCACACATGCTGTTTTACAAACATAATTTGGAGTTATTTCACTGACTCACATTTAAGTTTTGTGCTGATTACTAATTACCTTATTACTGGTGTAAATATTGTGGTATAATGGTAAATTATCTGGCCCTTAAAATAACTTAACTGTTATTAAAATAATATTACTCTGGAAAATTTTCCCTGTAAATGTGTGTAATGTGTATATGTCCTTTCTGGGGTCTGCAGAGAATGAATGATAATGGACATCTTCAATGAGGGAAAAAAAGATAAAATATTGCTAAAAATTTTGGGGTCAGTAAGATTTTTATTTTTTATTTTTTATTCAGCAATGATGCAGCAAGTGACAGTAAAGGCATTTATAATGTTACACAATTTTTTTTTAAATAAATGCTGTTCTTATGATCTTTCTACTCCTCAAGGAATCCTGAAAAACTAAAATATCACAGTTTGCACTTTGATAACATAATAAGAAATGTTACTTGGGCACCAAATCAGCATATTAGAATGATTTCTGAAGAATCATGTGACACTGAAGACTGGAGTAATGATTCTGAAAATCAGCTTTGCCATCCCAGGAATTTCACAATAATACTGTAATAAATGTAGCCTTGGTAAGCATAAGAAACTTCTTTCAAAAACCAAAAAATCTTACTGTCTCCAAACTTTTCAATGGTAGTGTATTCAATAATCTTCCCACTGTTTTACTACAGTTTACAGGAGGAACTGTGCTGATGTAATATTTTGAATGGTCTGGAAATTTCCAGTCGCCCGGCACCCTGCAGTGATATGGGCCTACGTCATGCATGCTAACCCTTACACCACTCATCTCACACTACTTTACACTTGCGTCACTGTGACCTCACAGCTCTGTCTACCAGCCGTAATGAAGGATCCACCTCAGTTATCGGTTAAACGGGGCCTGAGAATGTTTCCAGTGGTTGTTCACTCAGTGAGCTTGTAAAGTACATCTGGCTATTAGGTTCCTGACTTACCCATCAGTGAGACTGTCTCGCTGGCTTTGCCGGGTGTCTCGAGGGCTGTGTTTGGTGAAGATCTCCAGGGCCAGGTCTTCATAAAGCTGCCTCTGATCTGGAGTCAGTGTTTCCAGAGACTCCAGCTTAATAAAGGCACGTGAGCAAGTACCAAACGCACAGTTTGCAGATGAGCAGATGGCTAGCAGAGAGTAAATCTCCACAGCAGGGATAATATCCTCATAGTCACGGAGATGGAGAGCTGGAAATAGAGAATAAAGCAATTATTGCATTTCTTCACATTTGAAGAACAAGAGATTTTAATAAGAGACACCTTTGCTGCTCACTGAATGTTGATTTTCATACTGAACAATATAGTTGTGATGCCTAAATTCACTTGTAGCATTTTAAACAACTGCGAAATGTGTTTTTACGGTTTTATTTGAAATTACTAAGCCAAAATTATATAGATTTTTAATATTGGTCATTTATTGGTTATCTGTCATGACATGAAAATAATGTTCAATTTATTCATATATATTTTCAGAATTTTAATATCAGCGCATCCCTAACTTAAATAGCTTTTATTAGATCGTTTTAAGATTTTAGTATTTTAATATTAGTATGCAATGAAAACACGGCTAACTCAAAGACAGAAACATTAACCCACACACATACATGCATGCACACCTCTTGTCCAGGTGGTCCTGGATATGAAGTAATCTGTGGTTTAAACATCTTGTCTAGACCTTCATGTAAGCAAACCTTTTTTTGTGAGTGTGTATGTGTGGACTGAATGCTATAAAGACTTCACTTTGAGTTTGTTTTCTCAGTTCAGGTAAGCGATTTAACACTTTATGTTCACAGACAAGGCCAGACATAACATGCATGCATTCACACACACAGATTGTCACACAGAATCCTCTGAATAATTATTATATTATGGCGATAATTTTGGGTAAACCTCAACAGATTGCACCCGAAAAATACAGACAGGAAATAATTTAAAAATTCAAACCTCTTTGATTGACTAAATAATGTAGCAATATTCTAATAGTAAGTGTGCATATGCTATTGCATGGGTTTTAAGTGTTACCTGTCCTCATGGCTGCGTCCACCTTGCCTTCGTATAGCTGTCTCTGCGCAAGCAGGAAGAAATGATAGGCCTCTGCCCCACGCCAGGCGTCATCCAGGATACGGCTGTCTGAAGACGACTCATCTTCCTCTAACAACCCTGCTAATGCACTGGTAGCCTGAAATAAATCACACACACAAATTACCCACCACTAGGCTGTAAATGAGCCCTTCATCACAACTGATTTCCTGCCCCTCCGATGCTGTCGGACTCTGAGTCAGGCTGCAGCTGCAGACCACAGCACCGAGAGTTACCAACTACCACAGCTCTGTGCAAAGATCACAAATGATAATACGCCTGTATTTGGTTAGACCTGTACTAAATCTAAACTACATCCAGCACCTGGAAACAGGTAACAAGAGTTTAGAACATGTACTTTTAGAGTACCTCTGATTTCTTGCCCTTGATTTTGCTTTGCTGTGAACTTTTGATCTGGGTGTGGAAGTTCTCCACCAGCAGGGCAGCAAGCACATACAACTTCTTCACTCGCAGTGGTCGTGTTCTCTTTTTTGCCTCTTCTTCTGCGATCTGAGGTGAAATAAAAAATATTTTACAGTTACAAAATATCCTGACTTTAAACGTGAAGAGTGTACATTTTTGCAATTCCATCATCACTGGTTTCATAACTTGAGGGTCCCCACTGACAATGTTTTCTTACACAAGCTGATACTAACATACCTTAAACATGAGCTTGGCAGCATCCAGGAAGTGATGGGCTTTTCTGTAGAGCTCTACAGCCTCTAGAGTTTTGTTTTTCTCCAGCAGATGCGAGGCGTATTTGGACAGCAGAGGCCCAATTTCCTTCATACTGTGGTCTTTGGCAAGTTCAACAGCTTTGTTCCACTGAAATGTGCACACAATTAAAACCATCAAACATCTAAACATTCATCACAGACAGGTTTCATGAGCAGATGAGAGTGAAGACGTTACAGCTGCATCTGGATCTTTGAGTAGAACTGATGATGAGCACTGTGATCTCTCTGAACCTCTCATTTAAACTAATGACAGAAGCATCATTATCTCTAAATGGCCCCCAAAAAAAGCCAAAGAGAAGGCAATGAGTCAGAATGTACTCAGTGAAGAAAGGGAGAAAGAGGTCTTTTGAGAAATGCATATTAAATAGGGCTGTCAAAGTCTTTAACGCAGATAACGGATAATAATTATTTAATTCATTGTGTGATTTCTAAAGATTGATCAGAAATGTTGCAAAAGAAACAACACAAGTGTGTGTCTGTTGTTTTTCAGATCAGTACTTCTTAGAGAAAATACCTTCTTTATTGAATCATTTATTTAGAAATGATATCCAGAGAGGTTTAACAAATGTAAAACCTTATGCAGACTTTGTACAGTCTAATTAATTTATGAGACTAAAAAATATATATTAAATATCACCTGCAAGTAAAGGACAGCATCATTTGTACAAGCGTGGCTCTTAGATAAACCTCTTAGATGAAATATATGTATGAATTAATTCATAAAAATATCCAGAAAGTTAATATATTATTTAATATTACTTTATTATTTTGCGCTTAGGTGTGAGAAATATATATTCTGAGTTGTCTATCAAATGAGACAAGAAAAGAGTACTGTTGTTCTTTGTCTTTATCTTTGCTCTGTGTGATCCAGATGCTTTAACTACAATGAACAGATTAATCAGAATTACTTTTTTTAAATCAACTGACAGCCCTAATATACTGTAATATTAATATAATTCATACGATTAATATATTATTAACACGTTATACCTATAACATTCATAACATATCAAAACCATACAACAAGCTGAGTATAAACACTCACCTGGTTTAGATGCACACAGGCATCCACAGCTGCTTTGGGCTGGTTACATTTCAGAAATGCACTGACGGCCTGCTCACACATTCCCACGGTAACAAACATCTGACCAATGTCCTACATACACAATAAAGCACAGTTCAAGCCATTAAGACAACATGAACCAAACAGTACTGCTTGGTCGGTTTTGAAAGAATTGGAAAGAGGGAGAGAGAGAGAGAGAGAGAGAGAGAGAAAAAAGAGAAAGCACCCACTGGTAGCAGTTTATGGTTTTCTGGTAGAGAGTTTGCAAGTCTCTCCAGACCATCGTAGTCCTCCAGCATATAATAACATTCAGCCAGACGCTCCTGATTACGACCCTGAAGGTAATACTGCACTGCATTCAACCTGTGGAACACACACACTTCAAGTCTCTGTCAACACGCAAATAATACAATTTTTAAGTAAAAGAAAACAGTTAAATATTTGGACACACTTAAATTAATTTACTTATCTTAAAGACCTTTTGTTTTATTGGCTTATGCCTAAATAAGTGTATGACACTGAAACAGATTTTATACAACAGACATTCAGCTGTGTGGCTTTGGACACACACACACACACACACACACACAAATCATATACATATATTTATAAACACATATGCACACCCGCATTTAAACAGCCTACCATTTCTGTCTGTCTGCAAAATAGTCTCCAATGGCGTTGTAGGCCTGCTCCAGAAGAGCATCATCAGAGTCACCTGATCCGGTCTTCAACAACTGCAGAACCCTGAACCAATCACCGAGCTTTATACGCAAACCTATCGCCAAATCCCTAGAGACCAGGGGGAGAAAGATGAAAGATGAGCATTCAAAAAATATTGATTTCCGTTGCTTTTTCAATTTAGTTAATTAAAATGTTGGCCATAACTACATAAACAAAAATACAGATCCAAACCAACAGAGACACATATGGAAATTGATTTGAGTGTTTTTTTCAATCTAAAAATCATCCATCCATGTAGTTTATTTAATTTAGTACTCCATTAAATTAAAATATGGTAATTTCTTGTTGAATGCCAGAAGAAATATGAATGGCTTTGTTTGGTAAAAAGCCAAAAATTGTAAAAAAAAATAAATAAATAAAAAGTATATAATGTAGAATAAAGCAATAAGCCCCGTGAAGCCATGGTTTACAGTGAATTTATAACAGCTAAGCACGACACGAAGCGGAGTGCCTAAAACCCCCTTAGCTGTTATAAATTCAGTGTAAACCATGGCTTCACGGGGCTTATTGCTTTCATAAAACGGTTATTCCATATATGCAGCAAGGTTTCACAAAATAAAACAAAGCAAATCAAATGTAATGATATTAATAAAAACACTATTCTTCCGCCAAACAATGTAGTTCCTCAGAAATGGTTGTGGATGCAACAAAGTGGTTGCCGAGCAACACACAGACGTAAACAAAGGTGTAACAGCTTTGAACACGGCTCAACCAATCAGAATCAAGGACATTTGTAAAACAGTGTTAGAGACTTTTAGACAAAGTAGAGACTTTCACAAGCAAAGCAAGTAGTTGTAGTGAGGTGGACACTGTATGTGTTGCACGCTGGTGCATGTGAGTTTGAATCCTGCTCAGTACTATATTTTCAGTGTTATTATTTATATACTATTATATTTCTGAATATTTTAAATTAGTCTGTCATTTTTATTTTTGTTTTAGCAATGTCGTTATGTGCTTTTTTCATTTTTATTAGTTTTTTTATATATTTTATTATTTATCTTCAATTTATTTTTCAGTTTTAGCTTGAGTCAAACATAAAAACAATTGCGGAGCACGCCACGGAGGCAGCCATCAGCGTCGGCGCCATCATGTGAAGCTTGATGCATAAAATGAAGCTTTTAATTTTATACTTGTTTATTCTTTTTATTTTAGCTTCATTTAAATTCCTGAAACAGTAGTTTTAGTTAACAACAACACAATTTAATCAAATTAATTTAACAATAAAATTTTTTTTTTTTGTCCACAGAGATTTCACAGAGGATATGAAGCTCTTTGAGGTTTGTGTATGACAGCATGCATATGTGTCTGTGTGTACCTGCGGTCCATGTCCAGGTACATCCTCTCTGCCTCCTCAAACCTGCTGAAGTAAGCAGCTACCTCGGCTTGTTTCATGGCTTCACTTTGTAGATTGCTCAGTCTCTTCACAAATTCAATGCCCTGGTAGTCTCTACAGCGCACAAACGCCTGTTCAGCCATCTTCAAATCCAGCTTCTGCAGCGCTGCTTCTGCTAACAGACGCCTGGAAGTGCATGCACAGATACAACTGACTGAATTTTCAACCGTCAAATAAAACTGAAACTTCACACTAAATCTCATATTTGAGATTACATGACACCTAGTATATGATACATTAGTTCTGATGAAATTATTTGTTTGGAGTATTTGTATAATATTTGATCTTGGCAACGGCGTTCTGAATCCGCGCTGTCTGAGCTTGACGAGCGCGCCGGCTCGCTTCCCCCGTCTGCGCGTCCTGAAGCGCTTGATCAGCGCAGCAGCTCCCCCGACAACAATGTCCAGCAAAACATCCGAATAGTCGAAAACCAGTGAAATATCGGGTGGTGTGTACTTCCGAATGTCCAGCAATTCGTCTCTGGTGAAACTGATTGCAGGGATATAACTAAAGACAGGACAAGCTAACAAAAACATAAAAACAATTGCGGAGCACGCCACGGAGGCAGCCATCAGCGTCGGCGCCATCATGTGAAGCTTGATGCATAAAATGAAGCTTTTAATTTTATACTTGTTTATTCTTTTTATTTTAGCTTCATTTAAATTCCTGAAACAGTAGTTTTAGTTAACAACAACACAATTTAATCAAATTAATTTAACAATACAATTTTTTTAAGTGAAGTGTTTTTGTCCACAGAGATTTCACAGAGGATATGAAGCTCTTCTAGGTTTGTGTATGACAGCATGCATATATGTCTGTGTGTACCTGCGGTCCATGTCCAGGTACATCCTCTCTGCCTCCTCAAACCTGCTGAAGTAAGCAGCTACCTCGGCTTGTTTCATGGCTTCACTTTGTAGATTGCTCAGTCTCTTCACAAATTCAATGCCCTGGTAGTCTCTACAGCGCACAAACGCCTGTTCAGCCATCTTCAAATCCAGCTTCTGCAGCGCTGCTTCTGCCAACAGACGCCTGGAAGTGCATGCACAGATACAACTGACTGAATTTTCAACCATCAAATAAAACTGAAACTTCACACTAAATCTCATATTTGAGATTACATGACACCTAGTATATGATACATTAGTTCTGATGAAATTATTTGTTTGGAGTATTTGTATAATATTTGATCTTTACAACGAGCAAACAGCATCATAAATCTGGACATAAACAAAATGACACTGATAATCTTTCAGCTGCATATAGCTAAATCTGTTTGACTGATGACACCCTGGACAGTTTTAGGGAACTGAGCCACAAAAAGTGGCCAAGGATAGTGAAGTGACTGTGTCCGGGATCTTTTCATGCACTCATGGAAAGCTAAGAAAACCTTTGACCTCTGACATGTTGGCATGTTAAGGATGAGTAAAATCAAACAACAGAGCCTTTGAGCTCTCACGCTCGTATTAAAGCAAACACACACAGACTGAAAGAGAGAGCTGACACAGCTCTTGTTTTCTTTATACCATATTCCTGTAGGATTCCTTCTCCAGTTCCCGTCTGACAGTATTAACAGCAACTCACTTGATAATACACTAAAAGGTGAATCTCAATTTCCTGTTTCACCCCAAAATCAAAGAAAGAAAAAAGAAACCTACATTTAAAAATGCAGATTAAAGACAACATAGCAAGTACTGATATAAAATACCTAAATATAATTAATATGATTTAGCAAGATATAGTAATTTATAGATATTTTTCTAGATTATGGGGTTAAACGTGATCTGGATGTGGTCTTAACTGGTTTTGAGAGATTCACTTCTAAATTTTTCAACAAATGGTGAAACTGTAAAGAGTCCTGTCAATGTATGTTAGATCTCTGGGTTTACCTCCCTGCTTCTGTAGCAAGAGTCCAATCTGAAATTCCTCCTTGTGCTGTGAGAACTGACAGAGCCACTAAAAATCCAGTGGTTCGTTAAATCAATAGAGCCACTCCAAGACTGCCATGCTTTACGACTACAGGTAACATCGTTCTCTCTTTCATCTCTGTCTTAGATGAAGATTTATATTTTTTAAACGAACACAACCATAAATACTTGCACAGTAAAGGGCCTGTCAACATTACAGTTTATTTTATTCCAGTTTATCCAGGTTTCCCTTTCTTAAACGGTCAGACAGGTACTGAAGGACAAAGCTCTCCAGAAGCCAGAAGTGTGCTGTCTTATTGGTTTCATCTTGTCCTGCCAGTGCCAGGATCATCATTCAGATCATAAAACTGTAGCTCAGACTTCATTCAGACTATAAAACTGACCTCATACTTTCCACTTCCAGTGCACACATTGCCATGTTGCACACTCTTAAATCTCTAAAATGTATAACAAACACAGTCCTGCTAAACACATACACAAATACACAAACCCACACAGTATGTTTTAACACTGTTCTGTACTTCCTATGCTTTCATTCATGTATTCCTCTTTCCGTGTGCAGGTATGCTTGAATAAATAACCAAACCGCCCCATTTATTGTGTGGAATGAGTGTGTGTCTCACCAGAGACGCGGATGGGGATTGTCCTCAATAAACTGAGAAGCATCTTCAATTCCAACCTTCTCAATAAGTGCCCTGCTGTCCCTCAGCGAGCGGATCTCGAAGTTTATTAAATAATCTTTATTGGGAACCTCTGGATCCTGAAAGATTATTATAATATATATATATATATATATATATATATATATATATTCAGGGTTCACAAAACTTGACAAATTAAGATAACATTTAAAATAATAATAATAATAATAATTTTATAGAAATTATAACAATTTAGCAGAGCACAGCTAATATATAGGCTTTTTTTTTAGGAATTTGTTCATTTCCATTATACTATTATGTTAATTTTTCAGCCCTGGAAATCTCAATTTTAAAATTCACTGAGATTCACAAGTTAAAAATAAATTCATATTCAACTACGAATTGATTCAATCCAATATATTCCAACCAACCCTCATAATCTCATCCAAAAGAACAGATTTGATCTCCAGATCCTCAAAGTGGCAGATGAAGCCAGACGTTTGAATTGGTTCCTGTGTTCAAAACACAACAAAAATAAAAGCTTGTCAGGAGAATACTCACACTAATACTGCTGCAAATTAAAACAACTGAAGTTTTTTTTTTTTAAAGTTCAAACTGATTAATTATGAATGTACATATATATATATATATATCATTTGTGTGAATATTGCTTATAAATAATAATGTGTGAACTGGACCTGTAAACTACCTGCTGTCTTTCTGTGCATGAAGAAAAAAGCTCTGCTGAATCTCTACAGTGGGTGGTCTGATCTACAGGCCATGTGCTCTGTGATTTACTGAAGCTGGCATGTGTGTGTGCATGTGTGTTTGTTTGAAAACGGCAGCACTTCCTGAACCCTGTATACTTAAGAGGGGATTAGCTCTGACAAAACTGTCATCCTTTCTTTCCATTTATGTGCTTTTTCAGTAATTTTCTCATGCCACAACACTCAACATATATGTGCATATGAATACATACGTAACTCTTTCTCTATGCCTCACCTCAGGGTCCAGGTTTCTAAAGACATACATTCTGGTTTTCTCCATCATGGAGAACAGATCTGGGTTGTCATTAGCCCATTTCATATCCCAGACATCCTTGCGCTCAAATTTAGATGGGTCTCCAGCTGTGGAACCGCCCTCTGCATCCCCTGACGAAGCCCGTGTCTCTACGTCCAAAAACGTCAACACGCCCGTAATGTCTATAATAGCCAGTCGGCTAGAAAAATACAATTATTTTAAAACAATCTCTCACTATACAAGCAGGAAAAATTTGTGATTAGTCTAACACTGATAGTGCCAAAATGGCATAAAATTACAATTGGACAAGAACAGAGAGAAAAAAAGGAGAGAGAATTCAGACCTGGAGTTACAATTGAGGGACAGCTGATACGGTCTGGAGGTAAGGGAATATTTCTGCAGGAGGGTGATGTTGGGCAGGCTGTATCTCTGTAGGATACCAGACTCACGGCCCTGCGGACATCACAACCACATATCAATAACGCAGAAACTTTGAGATGAAAAAGCATGTGTCCTTGTGTAAATCAGACGTACCACTATAAGCATTCTGTCTGATGCTGTAATGCAGCAGATCTGATCTCTGGTGGCCTAAAGAAAAGAAAAAAGAAAAAAGAAAAACATCTCACTGTCATGACCCTTTTCTCAGGGCTGTCATATGAAAAAGTGGACTGCAGCCTCCATACTTCTTGTAAACACAAGTTTAGATGACATTTGGATAACTCAGAAGCGTCTTATGTGACCGATGTCACATAAAGATGTGTGGATCAAGGAAAACATAGCACAAATATAAAATAATTCATAAACAGACTATCTGAGCCGTGTTCTATGACAGCTTTTCCCACTAATCCTCTCACGAGAGGCTGAGAGAGCCACAGGTAAGTGTCTGTGCTGAGTGTACTCACTGTGAAGGCTTTGGCAAAGTTCAGTGTCCCATCTGATGTTCCGCTTGGACTGTCATCGATGTGATAAACCCTAGAGAAAAGAGTCAGCAAGACGAGACTGAAAAGAGATAGTGTGCAGGTAAAGTGAGCAAGAATAAGCAAGAGAGGCAATGTATTTCTATCATGTGGAAGGCAAACAGAACACTGGGTCCGTTCCAGTGTGTGGGTCGCAGGATTTCATCACACAGCCATGAACCAAACTTTTCCAAAGTGCTGCCGTCAGCGAGCACACCCTCACACTATCCCGATAGACAGACCGGCAGACAGGCCTGCCCACAGACTGTACGCCTCAATAAGGAACATCACTTCATCTGATGAAAGCTTACATATTACACAGAGCTGCTTCTTTCATTTAGCCACTGAGTCTGAGACATGGGACAAAGCATGCACAATAAATTCAAATGCAGTTAGTTTTTGAAGAAGCTATATTTCCACTCTGAAATAAATCTTAATGTTAATTAATATGTTCTTAAAACAAAAGTACCATTTAATTCATTTTTTTCATTTTATTAAAATTATGACATGATCACTATGTCCGTGTCACTATGATTACTGCATTTAATACTTGTGTATTTGTTAAATTTTAGAAAAATATGAAAGAAATTAATACATTCATTGAGCAAGCATTTATACAAAAGTGAAAAAACATGTATAATTATATGTTTTTATAGAGCCATTATATGTTTATAGCTAAATTTACATCTATTCACCAAAAATTCCTGGAAAAAATGAATCAGTCTCCACAAAAATACTGTATTAAGCAGCACAAGAAACATTTCTTATTATTATCAATGTTAAAAACAATCTAACATTGATAATAATAAGAAATGTTCCTTGAGCACCAATTCCGCACACAAGAATGATTTCTGAAGAATCATATGAGTCAAGACTAGAGTAATGGTGCAGAACACTCACAGGAATAAAAAAAGATATATTTAAATATAAAAGAGTTGTTATAAATTGCAATAATACATCACAATATTACTGTTTTACTGTATTTCTGATCAAATAAATCCAGCCTTTGTGAGCACAAGAGATTCAAATGCATGAAAAATATTACCGACACCAAACTTTTAAATGGTAAATGATGGTAAAAAAGCTCTCGGATTTCATCAAAAATATCTTAACTTAAGGTCTTACAGGTTTGGAGTAATTAATGACAGAATTTTTATTTTTGGGTGAACTATCCCTTTAAATCCATCTTTAAGCACTGGTGACCCACTACTGGTGACTTTTGACCCTCACCTCTCTCGACCTTCCTTTCTTGTCTTGGCGACCTGGTTGATTTCAAGAGCAGTGAGTTTCTTGGCCACACGATACTGCCAAACATAAAACGCTTCCTTAGATGCAGCAATCACGTGAGTCTTCGTCATAGTGACAAACAGGGGCTCTGTGGCAGAAAACAGAGAGCAAAAAAATAGTGAATGAACAACTAGAATGTCTTAATTTCACTTTGTGGAAAGTGAAGGATGAGAAATTCCTTTAACCAGTTACATCCTTATTTTAAAAAATCAGGTGAGATTAGCTTATCTATACATCAAAGCTACACTCTAAAAAATGCTGGGTTGTTTCAACCCAATGTTGGGTCAAATATGGACTAACCCAACTGTTGGGTTAAAAAGCTAATTTAAAAATTTAACCAAAATTTAACCCAGCATTTTTTAGAATGTATCTGTTGAAGGTTTGTGCGATTTCAAAGGCTGTTGAAAATCACACAAACCTTTATTCAGAGCAGGATTCAAGGACAGATTTCACCTAAAAATATGTTTTTCTATGAGTAACTACAGATTCTCTTGTGTGTTGCTGTTCCGGCTCTGAAATCTGTCCAGAGAGATCAGGCTGAATGTCTGGAACAGATCTGCTCTCCCAACCAGGGGAGGAATTTAGCGGGATGCCTATGGGAGTGACAGGACAGGAGCTGGGATTCCCACCGCAGCTTTCACACTGTGTATGTTGGTGTTACATCATTACAAAAACAAGCAGTCTGCTTGCTTATCATCAAAGAAACTGTTCTAAATTACATATATGTCAAATAAGCCTGAAGCCTAGGGCTAATAAGACCATTCGTGCCTTATTTAAACCAAAAATGACAAAATGAGAAATAATCAAAAAAATGTTACTAATACACATCTCTCTGGAATGCTTGATTCTATAACAGACTGTTGTCCCAGGAAACATTAGCTCAAATAATAAAATAATTTCAACAAAAATGTGCATTTATTTATTTATTTGCTTCTGGGTATTCATAACCCTTGCTTACGAGTTTATTTTGCAATAATGACCTGCTGAATCTGCATGATCCCTTACATATCGAGACAGTGAAAAATGTTTTACCCACCGATGTCAATATATTTAGAATCCTGTGGGGTTCCAATGGAGTTACACAACACCAGAGCATACTGTGGACAAAGGACAGACAGGCATCTCTTTACTGCATGGATACACTTCACAAAACAGCATTACGGAAATATCTGAGAGGCTTTTTTTTGCTGATGTTCATAATACCTTTCTCCTCTTAGACCGATCCTTTGAGGTGTTTTGATTGGACAGCTCATTAAATGCCTGTGGTAAAGCGGTTGCATCTGGTGCTTAAGAACAGCTTTCTCAGTTTTAACATAATTAAATTCTACATTACATTGTCTTTCCACTGTCCTCTGTCCTACTGAACGTAGACCTGGTTCAGAGTTGCTATTAGTTGTTTAGTTCTTACTTTGTAAAATGTCATGATACAGTCACATCTGTATGTTTGATCAGGTTTCTCATGGTCAATGAAAACAGCTACAGTCATGTATTATTGTTAAATCTCTCCTGTCTGTAACTTTCTGGTGTCTGTGACCAAAGTGCATATGGAAATATTTCATAGCTTTTTACTACATTGGGATATAAGAGGTGTCTTTACCATAGCTGATCCAGCCTCAGTGTCAGTGTCCTCCTGGGGGAAAAAACATAGAATTTGATCAAATCACAGATATGACTTTTGATTTGATTTAAAACAATATTATAACTTACAATATCCCTCTTCATCAGAAAAAAAGCTGAACAGATCCCTGGTTTAGTACCTGTGGATGTGTGTCGTCTGCTTTGGTGGCCAAAATGCAAAAATCTCCACAGGTGGTGATGGACATGAGACTCTTGACATATTTTACAAACTTCTCATTATTCTTAGTGTCCCAGAACACCACACTGTACTCCAGCCTATCAGGCCGTGTGTATGCATACACCACTGTGTTACTGCAGTAACCCCACTACAGAGACAGAGTAAGATGTTATCTCAGAGAGGGAAAAAAAAATATTTTATAGCCATTATTTACAGCTAAATTACCTTGTAATCTGGCCGAATGTTAGCAAAATAAATGTAAGAGTCTACAGCTAGGCCAATTCGGAGTCCTCCACCTTCCCATGATACAGCAGTCATCTGCTTGCCCGGAACCTTCAGAGTCCGCAAGTGCTAAGACACGTGATGACATCAGACGTAAGTGCATCAACAGTACGTTTACATGGACATCAGTAATCTAATTATTTACCTTATTTTAATAAGACAATATTACGATTAAGGTGTTTACATGAGTTGCTTTCATGTTCCCATTTTACATGTTATAGTACATAGTTCGATTAACGGCACACGTCATTACGTCACCACACGACGCCATCCGACGTCCCCTCCAGAATTTCACATATAAACATATAGTTTGTCTTCGTTATGATGCCATATACAGTTTTGGGTGTTTCATTTTTAATTTACTGAAAGCTTCAAGTGCAGTTAATTATTTGTCATGCTATACGTGCAAACAGATGACGGCGGTGTTGAAGCCATGCTCTTTTGTTTGCCGTCAAACGGTTGACCACTGATGTGTGTGTATCCTCCTGTCGCAAAATGTGGCAAAAAGTCCTACATGACGGTAATAATGTGATTAAGGTGTGTACATGTCTATACTGCACTTCAATAATGCGACTAAAATAGGAATACTCCACATGTCTTAATTCGATTTGTGTTTACTTCGAATATGACTTTAGCCGGATTAAGGCAATCTCTGTTTACATGGTGGATTCTTAATGAGAGTATTGTCTTAATCGTGTTAAAATCGGAATATTGATGTCCATGTAAACGTACTCAGCAAAAATATTGTGGAAATTGTTTTAACATTGCTAATAATAAAAAAATTTCTTGAGCAACAAATCAGCATATTAAAATGTTTTCTGAAGGATCATGTGACACTGAAGACTGGAGCAACGGCTTCCGAAAATTCAGCTTTGCCACGACAGGAATACATTTCATTGTAAAATAAATTAAAATAGAAAACAGGTTATTCATATTTTTAATAATCTTTCAAAATATTGCTGTTTTTACTGTACTTTTAAGAGACTTTTTCAAAAATATTACAAAAGTCTTACCGACCCCAAACTTGCGAAACAATTGTGTATGACAAGATATATTATCTTTGTAGAACCTGAAATGTGTCTGTATGAAGCATGTGTGTACTCACCTCTCCAAACGGTGTGTAGAATTGAACAACATTTACGTCTTTCTCTGCTCCGCTGTTTCTGAGTGATCCTGCTATAGCTAGAACACTGCCACAGTGATTCCATTGGATACTGGCCACATGCCACATACCCGTCTCGATGATCACAGGACCTGCACACATACGCACACACAATCTTACTCAGATCTGTACTAGAATGTATGTCACTTAGCATGCACAAAGAGAGATAAAGAAATGGATAAACTCACTGTCATCACTCTCGTGCCTCATCACTTGGCAGTGCCCGTTAGTGAAGCAAACAGCTAGGCAGGGGCAGTCTGGTTCCAGATATCCCTCTGTTCCAGGGTACCAGTGAATACCTGATATACTGAGGGAACCTGCTGCATTCGCCAAACCACTCATGGTCATCTTCATCTGGGCATAAACACACACAATAAGAGCAAATTTGTGTTTTTAATAGCAGTACTACTCAAACTGACTGGATTAAAGTGAAAAACATCCTCAGGACCCCAGAGGAAAACTAGTAGAAGTAGCTGACTAAAGACACAATGATGAACAGAGAGTGTTTCCAGCATCTCAGCACTCACAATGAAGTTTCCCTGGTTGTCGTAGATGTGGATCTCTCCATTGGCCATCCCAAACAGCAGGATCTTACTGTCTGGAGACCAGGCCACATGTGCCAGCTGGGTCCCCTTAAGTTCTTTACCCCAGATCCTGTTCCCTGCAAGATCACAAAACAAAGCAAACACACACATTTATATTCACACAAACCAAATGTACAAGCATGAAAAGTCAAAACTATATAATAAAACAACAAACACCTATATCTTGATGGATTTGTTGCTTTTTAATAAATAATAAAATAATTTAATATTATAATAAAATACTTTAAAAATGTTTTTATTTAAAACACACCAGGTGAATAGGGTAAAAAAATGAATTGATATCACCACACTTCACCGGGTCTATGACGAAAAAGGGTTTAAGCATAAAAACAATAGGTGTAATACTGCTTTAAATTGTTGTTGTTTTCCCACCAAACAATTACATTTTTTCTGTTTAATTTAATTGCAATTTTTGTTTTTCTGAGAAAAGACCCACTAAAATGTCATTCAGTGTAACAATCTTGTCAGGCATATTTACAACAAAAATCAATTTATGACATATTAAAAGACTAATTACTTTCACCCCAAATACTAATTAGTTGTAATTTTACATTTTTTTAATTTGCCACTATCCTAGGTTTTGCCCATTTGTCAGTAAGAATTTTTTACTCATTTAAAACAAAATAAAATTTAATATGCTCCCTTATTCTTTTATATATTTTAGTATCTACACGTCAGAATAAGCATGTTGTTTGAATTTTTACATAAATATTGTAATATTTAAAATTATTGTAACATAATTTTAACCAGATTTTGACATTTTATCCTCCAAAAACTTATTTGAAACCTTAAAAGTAGTCACTTTACTTACATTTCATGTGCTTTCTATGGACATAAAACCACTTTTGTAAATATCTTTTGATGCTGACATTTTAACGTCTTTGACCCTTGTATATGCAAATGATAAATTGTCTATTTACATTTCCAGAACAGAAATCTTAACATTGGACAAGCCAGGTTTAAAATTCTTGTTTGATATTGTTGACATGTTAGAGTTTAAAAAAAAAAAAATTTTACAGAGGGGATTTTGTATATCTCTTTTTATCATTCCTTAATTTAAAAAAATACTGTCAACCGCCAGAAAAATAATTCAGGAATAAATGTATTTAAGAATAAAATGTTGCATAAAAAAATTATATATGAACAAACCGCTCTTTAAAAAACTTCAGAATATAATCTAGTGTATGTGAGTGCTACTGAAGTGGAGATTTCTGGCTCAGTGCAGGAGAAAAAAACTAATTTTGAGACAATGGCCTTTAAAGATATGTAGTGTAATTTAAATCTACAGACACAAATAAATAAAGTGCATGTAAATCTGATTTAACTAAAAACTCTTTTATTGTGCTAAGTGTATTTTGGATGTTTTCTTTCCACTAGTCTTAAACAACGTTATGAAACCCAAAATCACAAATGTGCCCAGTGTATTAAAAAAAGGGTTTGCCTGTAGTGCTTTGACTTAAAAATAAGAAAATAAATAATAATTATAATAAAATCAGTCCTGTGCTCACCATCCACCGAGCCCACAATCACAGCACCGTCCTCGTACACAATACAGATCTTCAGACCATCAGCATTCCAGCTCATGCTCCTCACCACAGACTTATTCCTGTTATTAATCATTTCTTCATACCATGAACCTGTTTGACAACACACAAAATCACAAAAAAAGTGTCACACACGGTTGCACATGCACACATAAAAACAGAGCATAATCAGTGTATTTTCTATATGGTTTGTTAAGGGACTGTGTACCTTTGTAAAGCATCCAGACAATGCACCGTCCTCGTACACAATACAGATCTTCAGACCATCAGCATTCCAGCTCATGCTCCTCACCACAGACTTATTCCTGTTATTAATCATTTCTTCATACCATGAACCTGTTTGACAACACACAAAATCACAAAAAAAAGTGTCACACACGGTTGCACATGCACACATAAAAACAGAGCATAATCAGTGTATTTTCTATATGGTTTGTTAAGGGACTGTGTACCTTTGTAAAGCATCCAGACAATAATGAGCCCATTCTGGTCACTGGTGGTCAGTTTCTGGTATTGTTCATTCCAAGTCACAACCTGCACTGCACCTGCATAGCAAAATTAAAACTCAAGAGTCAGAACACACAAACACTAAAACAAAACGCATAGACACTGAGCTGACACATCTCCTCTATCGTTCTTACCACTGTGTCCTTCCAGTGTCTGATTCATAGAGAGGTTGCTGGGCGCTGCCAAGCCTTTCAGTTTGGCATCATCTAAGATAAATAAATGTACTCAACTATTGGTTGATTAATGGATTTCGTTCAAAGTCCTATGTTGAATATATAGAAGTAAACCATTCACATTGGTGTTCATATTTTGTCTGTCCATATAGAAATACTGGCAGTTCAGGTTCCCACCTGTATAAGTCTCAAGTTTGAGAACTTTTAAAAGCCCATCCTCTCCTCCACAGGCGATGAAACCTTGGTCTTTATTCCAAGACACACACTTTAAAACGGTATTGTTTGGAATCGCAATCTGAAGACACACAACAAAGCCAACGTCCCTGATAAACAAGTTGTATACGCAGAAACAGCTGTCATTATCATTAAAACGACTTTTTAAGAAAAGCTATTGAAAATTACTATCAGCAAACCTGATAAACAAAACCGCGTTCAATCAGAGACAAATATTCATATAAGTTAGCAGCAATATTGTTATAATGCTAGCAGTAATACAGTTATAACGCAATGTTTCACAATTACCTTCTTACTGAGATAAATAAACATCTTTGCTTTAGCTTAGCTTGCTAGCCTGCCTCAGCGTTATGAACCAATTTTCTCTCGGTTTTTAGGGGGGGTGCTAAAAGTTTTTTAGTCCCGATGACTTTTTTGGATTTCAGCGTTGTCTTCTTTTAAATGAAATGTTTAATAAATCCGTTCTTCAAGGCACTTGAATTTTCGGTGTACGTCCCATACATGTACGCTGCTGTAAAACGGTTTGCTTGGTTTCTAGGTAACCAAAACCCGGAAATGATGTTTTATTAAGGCATTCATGGTATTTGTAGTTCTAATTATCTACTCATCACTTTATAGGACACATTTTTTTAACGGAATCCTTGCAATAATATTATTTCAAATGAATTCCTAATTAATTATAAAATAATCTGAATGATTTTTTTAGGCATAATTATGATTATGGGTAACTGACATAAAATAGATTATGGAAAGTTGCCATTTCCTGCACAATGGCATGTTAAACTCCATCTCAAAGTAATTTAAACAGCATTTTGGTATTTATTCAATAGTATTCATTAGCTAGTTACAGAGAGCAGGCTACGGCAAAAACCTTTGCAATAGTTTACAGTCACTGACACACCAAGCACTACTATTATATTGTATAGCCTTCAGCTAACCCATTACATAATACAAAGATAACACAAAACAGAAAATAACATCAAAGAATATTTTTATTTGTTCATATATTTATATGTGTGTGTGTGTACAATTATTTAAAATAGACAACATAAAATGGTGTGCACATTCTTTACATTTTACAATTTTTTCCCAAAATAAAAGGAAATTTAAAAAAAAAATATCTTTACTATATGCATCAAATTTTTCAAATGATTTGATGCATATTTTTATGACAAACCATTGGTCTGCTTAGAGCACGTTTTCTTGTCAGAGTTGATAACATATCCCTCTCTGCACTCGCAGAAATAAGAGGCGTTGTTGTTGACACAAATATGTTGGCAGTTGTGTCCAAGCGCACAAGCATCGAAACCTGCAAAATCAGCTGAATGAGCAAAAATAATTTCACTAATGATAAACCAAAACCAAATAAATTTAATATTACATATGAAATAATAATATTAATTATATGAAACATTATTGATGAGTCAGTGAGGCATTCAATTAATTTCAAATTAATTGTATTTATAGAAATACAATTTATATATATTTTTTAATAATTACATTTGCGATATTTTTATAATACATTTTTTTTATTAAATTCAAATATGATCTAATTGATTATAAACTGTTTTCCCCAACACAATAGGATCTTTATTCTCTTACCACAGAGTGTCTCCCTGAACTTAGATGTTAGTTTCTCGATCACTCCGTATGTCTCCACATAGAACACATGGTCATCCAGAGGCTGACTGGCCATCTGTTTGAGAGACCGCATATCTGCTCTGTCCACTCCGACAGCATATATTTCAATTCCAAAAGCCCTTGCTGCTGCTGCCACCTCTTCAACTTTATCTTGCGGCCTTCCATCAGTCACAATGATGGCCACCTTACCGATGTTCTTTTTTAGTGGCCGGGCCCCAGCGCTCTCTGTAAAAACCTGCTCCATGGCGGTTTTGATAGCCAGGCCAGTCATAGTTCCTGTTGAGAGCGGATCAATACGGGAGAAGGCCTGCTTGACCTCGGCCTTACTGAAGTACTTTTTCAGAAGGAACTCAATGTTGACAGTGCTGGCGTAGTTGACCAGGGCGACTCGTGTGGCATCGGATCCGATATCAAGAGAATCAACCATTTCAGAGAGGAATATTTTGACCTTTTCGAACTCTGCAGGTCGGACGCTACGAGAACTGTCAATGATAAAAACCAGGTCTAGAGGACGACTCTTGCAGAGCTCTGCTGGAGCTGTAAGACATAAATAATTCATTGAAAATTAGTGTCACATTATCATTAAAATTATTAAAAAGTGCAAAGTGTGATGTTGAAAGAGATTAATATGTAAAAAAAGTGTTTGTTTATGAAAAAAGAGGCTCCTCAGTTAGCAGTGCAGAGCTGTGACTAAAAAAAAGAAAGAAACTGAGTCAGTTAATCCCATTTGTGCTAAACAATTGCATTTCTGTAGACAATGAGCTTGGCATTAGCAAAAATGGCCTCATTAATGCTATTTGTCCTGCTTGTTTAATGCTAAATGACCAGAGGTATAACAATATTTTGTATCACAATATATCGCAATACAAAAGCGCAACAATATGTATGATGGATAGTGACAATATTGTGTATAATAAAGAACAATTACGCAATAGAAGACGGCACCCATTCATTGCGGTGGATCCATTGGTGAGCAAGTAATGTAATGATACATTTCTCCCAATATGTGACCCTGGACCACAAAACCAGTCATAAGGGTAAATTTTTCGAAATTTATATTAAATAAGCTTTCCATTGGTTCCATATGGTTTGTTAAGATAGGATAATATTTGGCCGAGATACAACTATTTGAAAATCTGGAATCTGAGGGTGCAAAAAAAATCGAAATATTGAGAAAATCACCTTTAAAGTTGTCCAAATGAAGTTCTTAGCAATGCATATTACTAATCAAAAATAAAGTTTTGATAGATATTTATGGTAGGAAATTTACAAAATGTCTTCATGGAACATGATCTTTACTTAATATCCTAATGATTTTGGCATAAAAGAAAAATCTATAATTTTGACCCATACAATGTATTTTTGGCTTCAAAGATACCCCAGCGACTTAAGACTGGTTTTGTGGTCCAGGGTCACCAGGGGATGGTCTGAGGATGAGTAATTTTTAGCAAATCTTGAACTATTCCTTTTATCATACGTCTTAGAAGTAATAATTAAAAACTGTAAAATTGTCTCTGATTGTGATACTACAAGTATTGATAGAGCATTGTATTGTAAAATCAGTATTGTGTATCAAACCGAATTGTGGAATGAATATATTGTTATACCCCTATAAATGACAATTCAGTTTTTTATGATTTCCCCTTGAAAAGAGAGAGAGAAAGAAAAGAAGAGAACGATTATTAAGAGGGACATAAGAGGACCAGACTGGTCGTCTGCACCCGGTGGGGTGGGATTGATCTACCTGGGTCAGTGGAAGGTTCGGCAGGGGCAGGTGTGCCATGAGGGGTACTGACTGGCTCTGGAGTGGTTGTCGTGGTTGTTGTGATTGCTGTGGTTGTTGTGGTTGCTGTGGTTGTAGTGGTTGAAGTCTGTGTTGGAGGTGGCGGGGGTAGGGTGGCTACCTTGGTGAGTGGCATGGGCACTGTAGGGACAGGTAGCACCACCAGAATTTTGGGAGGTGTGGGCACAACTGACCGGACAGGATGGACAGGTGAGATGGGCTGGACAGGTAAGGCAGGACGGTGGTAGATAAAGGGCGGCCCTTTCCAGGGCGGCCGCTGGTGATGGTGCTGATGAGGGTTGCGATGATGATAGCTGTAAAACCTGTGATTAAAGCCATGAGCTTTGTTTGGTTATAGTGAGAGAGAGAAAGAGAGGGTAAACAGAAACATAGAAATACAAAGACAGAAAGAGAGGAAAAATGCCAAGAATCCATAGACAGATGAAAAGGAAAAAACAAAGGAGAAAGACAAGGTGGGAGCATGAAAAAGAGATTTAGAACAAGAAAAGGAGGGAGAGAAGCATTAAAGTAAGCCATTACTCGATTGGTTTAAAGCAATATTATATTGATGTGGGTTTAAGGTGACACTTTTTGTTTGTTAGCAAAAGCATGAGCTAAAGGTCTCCATTTTCAAGCAGTGAGGCAAAGTCAGTTGCCTGTTCAGAGGTTCTCTGTGAATGACTGCAACAATTAACATGTCAACCTTAAGGAAAAACATGTTGTAGCCCCAGATCCACTTCTCATAAAAAATATAAATTAAAAAAAAGATCATTTAGGAGGCCGAAGTATATAGCATTGCTACATTAATGATTTCAGTTAAAAGATGACACAAATTTCCTTTAAAAAAGGAAAAATTAAATGTAGTACAATTTTGAAAGATATGTTTTAAAGCTCACAAATCATGTAGAGCCTTCATTTTGCAAATGTAATATAAATAAGTAAAAAAAATTACATTTTTAATGAACAATAGAAAAAAAGATTTTTATGCTTCAATTATTCCTGTAATGTAGAAGCTACTAGAACCACTGCTCCCAAGGTTTTAGAAGTCTAAAGGTCTCTGATCCATCACTAAGCACTTGTTGAGAAAGACTATGCTAATAATAAGCCTACTGTAAAATAGAAAGTCCAGCTGTGTGTAGATTACATAATTTTACGGGACTATAGGCTAGGTTAGGTTCCTGAAGAGCACTAATGCCATTTTAAAAACAAACAAAAAGAACTTCTGTATTTCACTCAAGTAGTTAAAAAAAATAAAAATACTCAGTGTTAACATATTTTAAATATTAATTTCAATCAAGGCTTGAAAAGAATTACAAGTGTAGATTTCACATGATTTTAATAATAATAATAATAATAAAGTTACAAATAAAATAAAATAATAATAATAATAATAAAAAAGTATTACCTCCAAAGTTGATGGAGTTGCCGTGTCCAGGACCAGGCATATTAGGGGTGAAGTGAGATCTCTGCCGGTCTCCGTAGAGCTGGTTATGGTTCCGTAAGTAAGGGCCATACGTACCCTGCGCCTCCATTAAAAATGCAGACAAACAAAAGACAGAAATGCAAATAAAGCATGTCATGTTGATGAAGATGGATGCAGGAATCTCTGTTCTTGTGTTTATTCCGACCCACTGTGAGAGTTTCGACAGGAGGAGGCGCTCACATGATGTTTTAAAGCCGCTGGCCCCCAGACGTCCAACGCGAGCCACCAATCCAGAGAAACAAGTGCGTTTGACTGGGCGGGCGATTAGTCTTCTACAGATGTAGTGCAGAATACCACTAGAACTGCAATGCATAGATAGTAGCCTACACAGTGCCCAAAGCATTCTGGAAATTCTGGGAAAAATAGTCATGTTTATTAGCTTATATATAATCAACTTTATGATATCGCTAAAACCCTAATGATAAAATATAATTAAATATATATTATAACGCAGAAACATAATTCTGCATTGTGTATAATTCATCCCGACTCTAGAGGGCGCTGTAAAATTGCACTACTACAGCAGCAGCAGCGACTGCTGGTTTGTTTTTATTGTGCCCGTTGGTCAGCTCGAGATTAGAGAATCAAGGGGAGATCTCTCAACTCAGTTAGGTAACATTATTATCTTTTTAAGTCGTTGTTAAACAAACAAGTGTTGTTTTTGCATTTGTTGATGGTGAAGCATCCTGAAGTTTTAAACCGTGAGCAGTGGTTTGTGGTACAAAACACATTATGAGTTGCTATGCAACTTCGTCATGAGAATATGTCAGATATTCATAAATTATATCATGCTTTTCCTTATGTCTGTACTTAAATAGCATTTACATTTCCCCTCCTCAAATCAGTTATTTGGAAAAGGATACACACTGTTGGTTTAGAAGATTTCCAGAGCGTTTAGTGCTGAATCTAGGCATTTGGAAGAATGTAAAGTGTGCATGCACGTTACCTCTTTTCTCTTGTGTCTGTGTTCAGTGTTACAGTATGCAGAGTCTGTCCGTGCAGGCGCTGGCCCTGCGGCAGCTAGGCCGACTGAACTCCCTGCAGCTGCTCACACCGTGCCATGCCTCTGGTCTCAGCATGTGGTGCCCGCGAACATTACACGCGCGTCAGTTGTGGGGTTCAGGCACACCCCAGACACACCGGCCAGCTATGTGGCCGAAATCATGGGACACTCGGCAGAGCTGGTTGCGCCATCAGACCCGGCTCAAGAGCACGAGAAAGAAAGGGAAGCAAAAAGCAGTGCAGCAGGAAGAGGAGGAGGAGGAGGAACAGGAAGATGCAGAGGCTAGTGATTATGAGGATGAGCTTCCAGATGACCCAGGCCTGCCAAAAGACTATAAAGACCACGAGAAAACTGTCCAGTCTCTACGTTTTGATCTGGTTTTGAAGACCGGATTGGACATTGCACGAAAGTAAGTCGGAGAAACTGTCCATCATGTTCAGTGATTAATTCTGCCTGCCACACTGGTGAGTTCCAAACTAGTGTTTTCAGTTCCATTTGCAGATGTAACTCCTAGATTTTACCTCAGAGAATGGACTGGTGACGTTCGTATTTAATCTTTGCTCATATTGCTCTCCTTGTACATTTAGTTTGTGGTGTTTTGGCCAGTGGCAGTTACTAACACATGTATCTCATTTACAGTGGTGTGGAGGATGCTTTCTATAACCTCAAATTGAGACTGAATGGTCAGAAACTCACCAAGAAGAGCAAAATGGTGAGTCAGCACCCTCTAGTGGAATAATCAGAAAGAACTTTCCTCAAAAATATCTAAGACTAGCTGAAAAAATTATGGATGTAATAAAAAAAACTACTCTGCTTGTGGTAGTCTTCCCAATACTGAATTAATCTGAGTACTGATTAGTATAAGCACCTTAATTTAACATTACATTTTGCCTCCTACAGGTTAAAGTGGGGGATACACTGGATCTGATCCTAAATGAGGACAAGGAAATGGACACAGTCTTGCTGAAGAGAGTGATTTTAAAAAAGGTGGTCGGAGAGACAAAAGATGCCGAAAAGCAGAGAGTCATTCTAAGAACCTGGAAACACCTACAACTTCCCAGAAAGGATGTGCACAAGCAGTAAAGACTAATTCTGTGATGTGTTTGAGAGGTGAAAGATCAGAAAATAGGACAAAACTGCTATTTCTTATTCCACTCCCCAACCATTTGATTCTGAAATTGCAGATTGAGAATTTAATGATGTTTTCTATGTCCAACAAAGACTGAAGGTCTTTCTCACATCGATTCACTTAACAGTAGTCAAGTTTCATACTACTTAAAGGTGTTTTTTTTTTTTTACTTTACAGGTCACAAATGGAACACAAACGCATCTTATTATTTAGCGGTGGTTTTGGTTATATGCTATATTTTTAATTATTTTTCTAATATTTACTAGATTCACAAAATAACATTGTGGGATTAATCAGATCGTGTTTGGGATATTGGTAGTTTTCTGATCCCTTGTTTCTGATACCTTATTTAGTTTTCACCATTTTCACAGATTTTCAGTGAGCAATTTTCAGAAAGGATACAGAGTGCCTTTGTATACAACTGCACTAAGATTACCAGACAAAAAAAAGGAAATATTAAAAGGTTTTTGCAGAGCATTTATGCAGGAAAAAAATTTTCAAAACCCAAACAAATACCATTTCCAAACTGTATTTCTTTCTTCATTATAATGGGCAGTGGTGGATTATACAAGGAACACACATTTATTCTTGAAAAACAACAAAGATAATATTTTTATGATTTTCTCTGACTGTAAAATGCTCCTATTGACCCTCACTTGTGTATCTGAAGTAAAATAAAAAGAACATGAAACACATCTTGGCTAGGAAGTGAATTTTTATTTAAAAATATATAACATATAACCTGGTGCTATAGTTAAGTACAGATGAATAAGATTTACTTCCTGGAAGGCAGGACATACTTCAATATGTTGATAATTAGAAAAAGCCAGTGCTGCAACATTGCTACAACTTAAAACAATATATATATATATATATATTTATATATCGTCTCTGCCCTCACCTGAAACTAAAGTGACCTATTTTTTTTAAAAACTAAATGTTTACATTTAAATTGATTAAGGCTAACTTTATCTTATCTATTAATTAGACATTAGAGTAACATCAATAATATTTTGGCATATAAATAGTAACACTAATATTTCACTGTCATGTGATAGTGGCTTCAATCACCAACTTTGTCACCTACGAAACCATCCTGTTTAAGGCCATGGATGTGAACTCGACCAGCCGAACTAGACCTTAAACAAGAACAAGTTTCAGTATGCTTCAGCTTATAGACTTGTGCAAATAACAGGTATGTTGTGTAAAATATAGGAAAACAGGTCTGCGCTTTGCAGGAACATTGTCTAAGAATAAGTCACAGTGTTGTTTGATCTCTTTGCCTTCTTTAGAATGTCACATTTCTTGCGATTGGGGCGCCTACAGCGCTCGTCAATGCTTGGCACACATTCATAGTGCCACACTTCCTCCATTTTGTCAACTGGATAGACAGCCTCCACGTAATGACGAATAAGTCGGAGACGCACAGGGTCCAGCTGTTTCTTGTTGCAGGCCCCAGAGTGGTTGTACTGCAGCCGTAAATTTTCCTGCGTGAAAAGTTCCGGGAAGAGACGGACGAGAAGGCGAGCAGCAAAATTTCCCACAGACAGACTCTGTTGGACAATTTCCCTCACTTCAGCATCCGTGAGCAGGTACTCAGAAGGCACTGGGAAGTTTGGGGTGGACACTGAAAGGTCCTCGAGAGGAATTTTGCAGAAGTCCTTGCTGCTTTTCTCCAGGGGTGAAGACAGGACTTCAAAGTCCTCTTTCAGACGATCCGAACTGAGAACATTTATTTGCCCAGCAGTTAGCAGCGAGTCTTTTGGGTCAGGCTCTTGGTCAGGTGAACAGACCTTCCGTTGTTGCTGGTATGAACGTCGTTGGTCGGTATCCCGTCGCCTACAACGCTCATCAAGTTTGCCGACAAACTCAAGGGTCCACACACGGTCGTTCTTAGCTTGTGGGTAAAGCAGCTGGACGTAATGCCGGATGAGACTGATTCGTAGGGGATCCAGCTGTTTCTTTCCTAGAGAGCCACTGCAGTTGTAGTATTTTCGAGCATTCTCGTAAGTAAAGAGCTCAGGGAACATGAGAACCAGGAGTCGAGAGGCAAAGTTCCCAATTGATAAACTGCTTTCATAGTTATTCTTTAGCTGTTCCTTAGTAAGTAAATACTCCCGAGGAACTTCAAAGTCCGGAGGAGGAATCTCCAGTTTGTCAAAATCCACAGGCTCCAGCCATGATTTCGTAGACCTGCGATTTGGTTTTTCGTAACCACACAGATCACTGATCTTAACAATGGAGATGTTATCAGGCAGACGAGTGGTGTCATACATCTCTCGGTTGTCACGACTGCTGCCATTGACCGAAGCATTCTCCAGTGCTTCCTCCATTCGTTGTACGCACAGCTGCAGCCAGGTTTCTTCTGGGATATCAGGGAAATTGGCCTCCATGTATTTTCGTATAATTTCTAGTCTGTCTGAGTCAATGATCAACTGTCCAATGCTGTTGTGGCCCTCCGGCAACTTGCCCTCCTCAAACACCTCCGGAAAGAGTCTGTTCATCAAAAACACAACAAGCTCCTCTGGTGAAGTTAAGTCTTCAGAGTCTGCCTCATGTTGGTCAAACACTACATCTGAACTGACATTGAGATGAACATCATTGTTCTCTCCAGAGTTAAGGGAAAGACTCTCGTCCTGGGCATCTTCACTGATGAAATGACAAGCATGATTGGGTTCCATGTCAAACCCGACAAGCACTGGAGCCTGTTTGTCACACATATGACCACTCTCCATGTCCTTCTGAGCCCAGAAACGGTTCAAGAAATCATTGATCTGCAGCAAGCACTCCGTCTGCCAGACATTTTCATTTTTCACCAGCGGGTAGCAGACTTCCACATAGTTACGTATTAGCTGAAGGTGCAATGAATCTAATGTCCGTTTGGTTGTAAGGCTGCATGTGCTGCAGCCATGCGTGCATTCTTTTGCTGTGAAAAGTTCTGGGAACAGTTGAACGAGGAGTCTGCAGCCAAGATCTCCCGCAGTGGACGTTTGCTCCATCAACTGGGTGAGTTCTTCGCTGGTCAGCTGGTATTCAGGAGGAGGTTGAAATTCCATGACTATCTCAGAGGGCTTCATCTGCTTTTTGATGCGCGTCACTTCAAGCGAGAGCAAATCCACCTTACTGTGCAGCTGGGTCATGCTGGAATTCAGCGTGTTGAGGAGGAAGAACATCTTCTCGATGAGTGGGTAGAGGGGAGAATCCAAGGCAGCAGGAGACCCTGTGACCCCCACATTAGTGGAGGCCTTAAACATGTGATGCTTTCTAGAGTTGCCCAGTTTTTGTAAGTGAACACCATTATGGCTTGCTCTGACTCCATTGTGGGCTCCGTGCTGGTCCAGATTGGATGCAGCTTTACGCTCAGAAATGCGATGTGTGATGCTGTAGAGTGGTTTCCTGTATGAAGAGATGGGAATCTGTTCCTGTGGAGATAATCTGTGACTGTGAGAACATGACCTGCTTCCATTATCTGAACTGCTGTCAAGGAGATGTTCTCCTGCCTGGAAAGTAAGTGTGAGATGTTGCTGTTAATAGCTTGTACCAAAAGAAAAATCAGACCGGACATAGCCTGCTCTTCAGCAAATTATGTCCCAAATGCAATGTTGAACCAGTAGAAAAATAAAGTTTTGATTGATACAAATGTTCCTTTTCATTATAGGCACTTCATCTTACCTGTGTTGTCACCTTGACCCTCTTCCCGCTAGTAGGCCCTTCCACCTCAGGGACTGCGTGTGTTGCTGATCGTTTTGTAATGCGTTTAAAGAAACTCTCCATCTTTCCCTCTGTGTTTTCAATAATATCCTCTGCATCTTTCTCGACTTTAACTTCTAGAGAAAAGCCAAGCGTTCAAAACTATTCAAGAATGCTGAGAAACACTGAAAGACATCATCTCACAAATCTGTATAGCTGCAATGAGACAGAAAACTCTGACCTAATTTTTATCTGGTATCTGTCTCAGTTGATCTGATCACAAATGATCAGCCAAGACATTTACAACTGGTAGTAACGTGCATCTTTAATCAGGCATACCAAACAAGTTCCTTGAGGTGTTGTAAATGTATACAAATGCGCTTTTCATGCTTTTTCACTATTGTCAGCATGAAATGGAAATTGTGATTGCCTTATCTTCCTATCGATATATATATAGGGTGGTACTTGATTTTGTCCACAATTTAAGGGGGTCTGAATACTTTCCGTACCCACTGTATATAGGGTGGTACTTGATTTTGTCCATAGATAATTGTTTGGAACATTGTCGCTCGTTAATTGCTGTGGATTGATGTGGAGTCACAGGCTGCTGGAAAGTGCACTGATTAGAACTTAGAAGTGCATCATTATTAAAGAGATGTCATGGCAAGGGAGGAAGTAGTTAATGTTTTCGATGTAAAGATTATGTGGGCACACCATTAAAAAAATTATGTGTGCTGATAAATTATTTACAATAAATATGGCAACATTCCATAAAAATAAGAATGGTTTATTTAATAAAAGTCATTTTTAAAAAAAACTTCATGAAATGGTTGATTTCTTTCTAATGTTACCAGCAGCAATTTGTTTTAGGGCAGTGGTTGATTTTACAGGTAGGCATTTACACTAAAAATGCAATGTCATGCCATTTTGACAAGATCTGAGGTCTTGGACGATCTTTTTGTCTCTCCTAAAAGGAGGAAGAACATCTTCTCGATGAGTGGGTAGAGGGGAGAATCCAAGGCAGCAGGAGACCCTGTGACCCCCACATTAGTGGAGGCCTTAAACATGTGATGCTTTCTAGAGTTGCCCAGTTTTTGTAAGTGAACACCATTATGGCTTGCTCTGACTCCATTGTGGGCTCCGTGCTGGTCCAGATTGGATGCAGCTTTACGCTCAGAAATGCGATGTGTGATGCTGTAGAGTGGTTTCCTGTATGAAGAGATGGGAATCTGTTCCTGTGGAGATAATCTGTGACTGTGAGAACATGACCTGCTTCCATTATCTGAACTGCTGTCAAGGAGATGTTCTCCTGCCTGGAAAGTAAGTGTGAGATGTTGCTGTTAATAGCTTGTACCAAAAGAAAAATCAGACCGGACATAGCCTGCTCTTCAGCAAATTATGTCCCAAATGCAATGTTGAACCAGTAGAAAAATAAAGTTTTGATTGATACAAATGTTCCTTTTCATTATAGGCACTTCATCTTACCTGTGTTGTCACCTTGACCCTCTTCCCGCTAGTAGGCCCTTCCACCTCAGGGACTGCGTGTGTTGCTGATCGTTTTGTAATGCGTTTAAAGAAACTCTCCATCTTTCCCTCTGTGTTTTCAATAATATCCTCTGCATCTTTCTCGACTTTAACTTCTAGAGAAAAGCCAAGCGTTCAAAACTATTCAAGAATGCTGAGAAACACTGAAAGACATCATCTCACAAATCTGTATAGCTGCAATGAGACAGAAAACTC